TTTTTAAATTCTTTTATTAATTTTTTTTCAATTTCATCTAACTTCTTAGCCTTGTCGACAGTTATGTTATCCATTTATTAAAAGAAAAAATATGTTAACATAAACATAAATGATGTTAATAGAAACATAAACCATGTTAACATAAACAAACTATGTCTATTAAGCACAATCAACACTACACTAATGATTAATATAAATAAAACAAAAATAATAAGTTAATCTAAAATTACACAAACACATCATTTTTTATTTTCTGTAAATTTCATAAGAAATATAAACACTAAAGATAAGGCAAATATTATTATAACAAATATTTTATCAACAATTGAATCAAGCATACACCACATTTATTTAGAAGAAAATTTTATATTAGAAAACTTATTCATATATTTTCCTTCATCTATACTTATACGCAAGCAGGTTTCTTGTGACAATTACTCCTCCAAAACTACTGAACCGATTGACATGTTTTTGGTGTCATTGGAAAGAGCGTAACGTGAAGTTGTGCAGGAAACTTTCTTTTTAGGGAAATAATTAGAGAGTGAGGCCCTGGGGCCCTTTAAATGTTCGTATTTCTCTATAAGATTAACATGGGAAACAAACATTGTTATGAAACTCCAGGTGTTGTCAGAAATTCAAAGTGAAAAGAAGAACATGTTAATTGTAAACAGTCAATAAGTTTGCTAATTTAACTGTTTGTTACAAACATTTACTGACTTGGTTGAAATGAAATATTTACTATTTGAATTTTGGTTGGCGTAAATAGTACAATGGAAAAAAGCGAGAGAGCCTGGATGAATTGATATACCAAAAAGAAAACTGAATTAACACTGTGCTGCATTTCTTAGTAATCATTGAAAGAGCCGAATGATTTGCAAACTATGGAAACATAGGAAAGTCATAGAACACCACCAAGGAGAAGAAATAGAAATAATGTGTTTTTTAAAATTTATAATCGTTGTTATATGGACATCCTAATGCGGGTATGAGTAAGGCTATTTGTAGAAAACACTAAAACAAGATCAGCTTTCAAAAAATGATCAGATATTTACAAGAAATGTTGATTATATCGATCTGTTATGTATATCTTGAATATTTCCATAATCTTTGTTTTTCATTTTAAAATAACGCCTGTAATACTTAGCAATTGCTCGAATTCGAGCAACAGGGACACTAGTTTGTTTTTAATAACAAATTCATAGTTAAAAATCTATAATTTTCTTTCCAACAATCATTACAAATATCCTTAAATTCATTAAACGACATATCAGAACCTACAAAATGATCAAAAATTAGTTTTATATAATGATTATTTTGCTTAAAAATACATAACATGTTTAAATTATTCCTTATCAATTTAATGTAAACTTTTGAATGACATTGTGAAAGATAAATACATGATATGTTTTTATGTCTGCCCTTTACAAAATACTCTTTTATTTTATCTTGATTTTCTAAAATACAATCATCAAAAACAATTAATGAATTTGGTTTACAATCATTTAATGAAATTATATCTTCACATGAACCAAAGAAATTTGCAACTTTTTTGTTAATGTTCATTTCAATATTTTTAAATCTATGTTGTAATTTTATATATGCAGGCTGCTCTAATGATTTACTAAAAACATATAAATTTGTGTATGGTATCAATCTTTTATAGATAAAATTTAATAGTAATGTTGTTTTACCAGAACCACTTGATCCTATTATTAACAATCTAATTGGTTGATTATTCTTGATTTTTTCATAATATGTACCTATCAAATTTTATCTGATTTTTTTCCTTTAAAAATTTTTCCATTTAAATAAGAAGAAATTATTTAAAATTACAGGCAATTCATCAAAGATTGAACTAAGATTAGAACATCAAATTCATTTGGATGGAAATTATAGTATTGGTCTTTGTGGATTTTATTAAAGTATTTAAGAAGTCCTTGTCAGATTCAAATAAATTGGGGGGAGTTCAAATAAAAAGTGAAAATCTTTATTTACAAACCAATTTTACTCATACTACACCTTAAGGTGAAGTTATATAAAAGCTACAGAAAGAAACTGGAAAAAATTTTGTTTTCCGCTACCCAAGGGTGGGGGGAGGGGGTTATTTTTTGTGTATTGCAAGGGTTTGCGACAACATAAATTTCTCAGGTTTTAAAAGTGATAGAGGGTTGTTTTTTTTTAATCTGTTCCTGAGAGTAATACCTACAATCTCTAGCATGGGTTTAAGGAAATTATATAAAATAAAATTACAGTAAAATTTTAAATTTTGAAATTTTTTTCCCCAAAATAACTGGTAAAAACTATTTTTTTAAATATTTTAATGACATTGTTTTTACAAATCCATGCTAGAGATTGTAGATCTTGTCAAACTGAACAAAATAAAAAATTTAATCCTTCTATCTAGTATAGAACTAGAGATATTTATGTTCCCATGCGAAAAAAGTAAACTTTTGAAAAACGACCGAATACCAAAACACGGTGCTTTTAGTGATTGACAAAGTGCAACTTCAAAGTATTTTTTTTATGAGAAAAAAAATCGTATAAGGTTGGTTTTAACTGTTTTATGTTCAGAATTTAATATATAATAAAGAAATAAAAAATTGTAAAAATTCATATTTTGGCCATTTTTGGCAACGACCGAATACCAAAACACAGTGCTTTTAGTGATTGACAAAGTGCTACTTCAAAGTATTTTTTATGAGAAAAAAATTCGTATAAGGTTGGTTTTAACTGTTTTATGTTCAGAATTTAATATATACTGTAATAAAAAAAAAAAAAAAATAAAAAAATTGTAAAAATTCATATTTTGGTCATTTTTGGCGTGAACTCCCCCCCGAAAAATTGGATTTTCCCAAAAATCGCTCGAACGATTTTGATAACTATTTGGTATGTTATAGTCCTTTATATTCTGAACAAAATGGTACAAATCCCATTTCTGTAAAAGTTACGGTTCAAAAGTTATTGCAAATTATGTCATTTTCCCATAAAATAACAGAAAAATAGGATTTTCTCAAAAATGGCCTGAACGATTTTGATAAAAATTTTGTATGTTAGAGTCCTTTAAATTCTGAACAAAATTGTACAAATCCCATTTCCGTATATTTACTCTCACCGCTTACACATAATAAAGGTTGTTGACAAACTTATGGGAGAAAGTATGTGTCAGAATGCTGATACCGTTTATTTTATATGGTAAAAATTAGTTATGTGAAGCTTTGTATCTGTAGGCCTATATATATATATGTATATATCAAGTATATTGACCTAAATAAATTATTTTTATATAGCATATACTCGTGTAACCATATTACGATAACACTTAGAGACTTCCATGACAGTAAATGCTGTTACTAAGAGTGTCACCTGTTACCAGCAGTATAATGACTACAGTCATTGGCATGCCAATAACCACAATAATAACTAACAGTGCCAAAGGCATTAGTGTATTTACCACAGTTATTGGCATGTCAGTTACCACAGTTATTGGCAGTGCCAAAATAACTAAATCACTACATATTTTAGACACAGTTGTTGGCACCCTCATATATTTGGTAATTTTAAGTACCTATATGGGTGACGGGAATAGACAAATCAGTCCTTCCTAATACTAATGAAATATCGGTAATGAAAACTTAATTTTTAACGTTCAGTTTTAATAGGGAACAATAAACAGGTACCGGTAGGTTGGTATATAGCAGTGAGTTTTCTTGTCATAGCAATAACATGGCTTCTTATGACACCCGCCTCACGCAAACATGGCGGCTGGCGACACGCATCTTTGACATTCAGTGCTACCTCCAGTTAGAATTATAGCTCAGTGTTTTTGAAGAACAATTAGGTTTTGCATGTATGTTTGGTTATTTGCACCTAGTAAAAAAAAGAAAACGTGGAAACGTATCTTTTCGGTAATACTGAACTTATGCAATTTTTTTGCCTTATCTACCTAAAGTGGACTATTCCACTTTTTACCTTTGGCACTTTTGGGGGAAACGCCTATTTCACCCTGAAAATCGTGTTTGAAAATCAAGAAAAGTGCTAAAATCAATGATTTTTGGGGCTTGAATATTTTCTTTTTAACTTAGGGTGTGTTTTTTTAAATCATTTAGTCAATTTTAAACACTTTTTTGGCAAATGCCGTTTTTACCCAGGGAACCAGGTTTGAAAAATCGTAAAAAATAGTAAAGTAGTAAACCAAATTAAATAATAAACTAACCTAACCTAACCTGACCTAACCTAACCTAACCCAACCTAACCCATGCTTATGTTAACAATGTGCCATAATTGACCGATTTTGGGTAAACCCTGGTTAGGTTTTAAGCTATTGAAGTAAACAGAAGTTGGGTAGAGTTTCTTAACTTAGCTAAGTTATGCTAATACCGATTATTAGTAAACTTGCATTCGATGTTGTCACTATCAGCAAGTTTGGTTGGTTAGGTTAGTTTCATGTAAATATGGGGAAATTTCAAATTATTCAATCTTGGGTACCATCATAGATAAAACATACTCCCTTAGTAGATTTCTCATCCTTATGGAACAGCTGAAGACAATTTTATTGTTAGTTCTGTACGGTTTATGTAGAGGTCGTGTTTTGTTTACAATTTGTTTCCCGTTATTACAGCCATTTAAAACCTCGTTTAACCAAATAATACTATCTAAACATAAACAATAACTTGTCCCCTAGTTATATAACCAAACAGTAAAGCACAAATCAAGAAATTAACCCTAAAATAATAGAAACAAAGTTTCGTCGACACTAGCGCCTTTGTGTCACGTACATGAACTAGACACGAAAAACGTGCTTCAAAATTTACAATGGGATGAGAAGTCTACTTGTGTTGGTTAGTCTATGGTACTATCGAGGATTTTGCAAAAAATTAATGAATCCTTGCGAGGAAAATCAAGGATTTCCATCGTTTCATGCGGGGAAAACCAAAGAGGTCGGTTGGCAACACTGGTCGTAGTAGTCTGCTAGTCTGCTGCGCTGCTGAGTCTGAACTCTGAACTGACGTCAGCTTGTTGTCTGTCACTGCCTTGTCTTGTCTTTGCGCTGTCAGCTCAGCTTGCCCATTTTGTTTTGCTAAGTTTCTGTACAGATAGTCAATGGTTTCCTAATTGTTTGTGTGTATTAGCAATACATCATAATTTGTAGTCATTGATTTTCGTTAAGTATGGGTGCTTTGACAAGTAGACAAAATGCAGGTGTTGAAGAGGTCGACATAGTTTCAAACCATGCCTACAAATATCCTCCAAAATCGGGTAAGTTTTTGCTTGAGCGTGTTTTGTATTTACTGTATGTAATTACATATAATTTATTGCTCAATTGCGATGAAGGAACCTCTTAAATGGTAATTTAGAATGTTTAGGGTTATAAGTTCATCTGGGTTTAAGTTCATGGTGGTCTTTTTTAGGCAATTTCTGATGCAATTTTTTAGGGCATTTTAAGTAAACACACTAGAAGTAAGTTACAATGAATATTGGCTAGATCTTCTTTAAAGTAGCATATAGCCTACAGTAGGCCATATGCTATACTAGGCCATACACCTACCCTAAGTAACTTGCGGTAGGTGTATGGCCAAGGTGTAAGTGTACTCTTGGGTGTAGGTATACTTACACCTACGTATGCTTGGTGTATCATTGAGAAAGGCTAGGCCTATGTTACGCTACGCTACTTTACTAGCAGCTAGCGAAATAGCAGCTACTAAGTAGCCAATGTGACAGAGGCAGTAGCAGCTACTAAGAGTAGCGCGCTAGTGAAATTTTACTAGCATGGAAAGTTGAACATGTCCAGCTTTCCGTGCTACTAAACTGCGCTAGTGAGTCACATGACCAACTAGCAGCTATCAAGTAGCGACTGTCGCCCAGTGTGACAGCTTCAATAGCAGACTAGCGGCTACTTGCACCACGTGCTGTCTGCCTGATTTGTTTGTTCTCGTTCATTTTCAACAATTTCTGAAGTAATCATGAGTGATCCGAAGTGGGGTGAGGGAGATGTGATTAATTTTTTGAACCTGTATAGGAAATATCCGTGTCTTTGGTGAAAAGTTTTCTTACTTTTTATATTTAAATAAATACTCACTTTTTTACAATCAAACAAAATTATTATTCACAAAACTAACACAACATTCTTAAACACATTTTTCTAATAGTTTATTTACACAATTTAATTGTTATAATGTTATTCTAATAAGTTCATTACAGCTGTTCTTTTTAGGTCCGTGAAGTTGGCGTACCCATATTAGCGTATCCACGTTTGATCATACCAATCGTTAGTTCATCGTTAGTTCTTGATAGTTCCCAAATTTTTTCGTTAGTTCTCAAAATATAAAAAAGTTACGAGGCATACAAAGTGGGTACGCTAACTTCACAATTATACAATTTCCAGCGGGCACAGTTTTTTGAATATAAATGCTTATATCTATATACCAATCGTTAGTTCTCGATAGTTCTCCAATATTTACGTTAGTTCTCAAATAATAAAAAAGTTACGAGGCACACAAAGTGGGTACGCTAACTTCACAATTATAGAATTTCAGGCGGGCACAGTTTTCTGAATATAAATGCTTTTATCTATATACCAATCGTTAGTTCTTTGTTAGTTCTTGATATTTCCCAAATTTTTTCGTTAGTTCTCAAAAAATAAAAAAGTTAGTTACACCAATCGTTAGTTCTTCGTTAGTTCTCGATAGTTCTCCAATATTTACGTTAGTTCTCAAAAAATAAAAAAGTTACGAGGCATACAAAGTGGGTACGCTGACTTCACAATTATAACATTTCCAGCGGGCACCGTTTTCTGACTAAAAACGCTTATATCTATATACTAATTATTAGTTCTTCGTTATTTCTTGTTAGTTCCCCAATATTATTGCTAGTTAGCCTATTGAAAAAAAAGGCAATAAGGTCTTAAACGTTGTTATGCAAACTTCACACCCAAAGCAATTCTAGCGTGCACCTTTGTCTGACTAAATGTTCCTATATCTTATTATTAATCGTAAGTTTTATTTTGTTAGTTCTAAAAACATTTAAAAGTTGCAGCTGATGAGTTGAAGCTGAATGAGGATACTAATTTCACACCTACAGAAATTCTAGCGTGCAACTGCATCTGACGAAAAATTCTTTTTATTATTATTTTTTTATTTGCTATGCTGTTATTGTTATGTTTACTATATGGAGAGTTTGTTATGAATTTAGATATTGAAATTCCATATTACTACATTAGAGTGATTTTCAAGTTTTCCTAAGCCGTGTCAAACGCCATTTCAAGTTCTTCCGTCAACAAAATAAGCTGTCTCCAGACATGCGCCAAAGCTCTCAAAGCACGACATATTTGCCGTTCGGCGATCTAGTTGTCTTGTTATTCGCCGATTAACGAGTAAAACGTCTGCACACATGTGTTGTTTTCCCAGCAACTGTTCGTTTTGGGAATGGCAAAAATATTCGTTCACTTTGATATTTGCAAAAATACTGGCAATGAACGGAAATCACGAGCACGAGCATTTGCTGTCATACTACTCGCGATTCGGCGAGTCGCTGTTCTGTACTTGGCGTAGGTACAGTCTGAAGCCGGCTATAGGCATCTTGAATAAAACCCCCCTTATGCAAATCATTGAACTGAATTTTAATTAATTATTTTTTATAACTTATTTATCATAAGGTAAAAATATTTATTCTCGGTGTATATTAATAATCTAACACATTTAATTTTGAACGTATTTCTAAACTGTTTAATAACGAAGCTGTGAATGTTTGAAAGAATAGTTGAGTGTACGTTTTTGAGAACTATCGAGAACTAACGAAGAACTAACGCTTGGTATATAGTTATAGGCATTTATAGTCAGAAAACGGTATCCACTGGAAATTCTATAGTTGTGAAGTTAAGGTACGTTGTCACTGGTGCGGCTGGAACTGTAGTCGTTGGACGATAATCGTTGGACGATTATCGCTCGGTAATAATCGTTGCAGTAGGCATTGTCACTGGTGCGATTATTATACTACCGTTCAGTTGCTTTTTTCTGGTCGAGTTGAAGTAGTGAAAGTGAATTATGAGTTTATGGGCTTTAACAAAATACAATTATATTCATTTATTTCTTATATAATATAGCCTAGTTGAAGATCTGGAAGATGGAGAAGTTTTTGAAATAATAAGTGTTCCAAGACTTAGCACACATAGCATCATTACAAAACGAACAGAAGAGGGGTAGTTCAAAATATAAATAAACAATCATTTGCAAGCTGATGAGAGAATATTATAAGAGCTTTTCAGACTTTCAAAATGTCAGTTTAAGTTTTTGTCTAGTTTGATCAATTAGTATTTTAAGATGACTTCTTCAAACTACATCCCCTATCCAATCACAAGAGATGGGAAAATTGCTCTTGGTAGGATAGTTTATTTATACTTGTTAAATTGTTGTATTAAGCTAATAAACTATTTTTATACTCGTTAAGTTATTGTACTCTTCAGAATAAAATATGTTCAGTATAAAAAATAGTAATATACCCTAGTAGTAGCAAACCTGCGACTCAGGGAGTTTCCAATACATTTATGTGTGTTACTACCACATAAAGCCACTTACCAAGTATCATAAAACGCATTAACAACTAAGCGATAAATAACATTTTAATTATTCTCCATGAGAATAACACTGGGGCTGAGTACACTCAGGGCACTTTGCCTCTAAAATCGTCCAACGACTGCGACTCTGACTGCTCCAGGAGCAGACCCGTACTATAGTCGTCTACGACTACGAAACGACTGCGGCTACAGTCGCGTCAGTGACAACGGTGCCATTGAAAACAATGCTAAGCAGGCGCTCTACGATTATCGTTCAACGGCTGTCGTCCAACGACTGCAGTTCCAGCCGCACCAGTGACAACGTACCTTTAGAGTGCCCACTTTGTATTCCTTATAAACTTTTTGTTTTTACAGATCTAAAATCAATATTAGGCTAGAGAACTATCGAGAACTAACTAAGAACTAACGAAGAACTAACGATTGGTGTATAGATATAAGCATTTATAGTCAGAAAACGGTGCCCGCTGGAAATTGTATAATTGTGAAGTTAGCGTACCCACTTTGTATGCCTCGTAACTTTTTTATTTTTTGAGAACTAACGAAAAAATTTGGGAAATATCGAGAACTAACGAAGAACTAACGATCAGTTTATAGATATAAGCATTTATATTCAGAAAACTGTGCCCGCTGGAAATTCTATAATTGTGAAGTTAGCGTACCTACTTTGTATGCCTCGTAACTTTTTTATTTTTTGAGAACTAACGAAAAATTTTGGGAACTATAGAGAACTAACAAAGAACTAACGATTGGTATAGAGATATAAGCATTTATTCAGAAAACTGTGCCCGCTGGAAATTCTATAATTGTGAAGTTAGCGTACCCACTTTGTATGCCTCGTAACTTTTTTATTTTTTGAGAACTAACGAAAAAATTTGGGAAATATCGAGAACTAACAAAGAACTAACGATTGGTATATAGATAAAAGCTTTTATATTCAGAAAACTGTGCCCGCCTGAAATTCTATAATTGTGAAGTTAGCGTACCCACTTTGTGTGCCTCGTAACTTTTTTATTATTTGAGAACTAACGTAAATATTGGAGAACTATCGAGAACTAACGAAGAACTAACGATTGGTATATAGATATAAGCATTTATATTCAGAAAAATGTGCCCGCTGGAAATTGTATAATTGTGAAGTTAGCGTACCCACTTTGTATGCCTCGTAACTTTTTTATTTTTTGAGAACTAACGAAAAAATTTGGGAACTATCGAGGACTAATGAAGAACTAACGATTGATGTATAGATGTAAACATTTCTCACCAGAAAACGGCGCGCGCTAGAACCCGGAAGTGTGAAGTTAGCGTACCCACTTATTATCGGCTATAACTTTTTTATTTTTTGAGAACTAACGAAAAAAATTGGGAACTATCGAGAACTAACGATGAACTAACGATTGGTATGATCAAAAGTGGATACGCTAATATGGGTACGCCAACTTCACGGACCTGTTCTTTTTCTAGTATAGGCAGGCTTAAACAAACATTTTATTTTTATATTATATTTAACACTCACCCTTAAGAATAAAAAATGTTTTATATATTTCTCAACGCTAGATTCTTGTAAACCCATACTGCTAGCTTAGTTAATAATATTGTTTGTGTTTTACAAAGTTGAAAAACAATTTTAACATTTGAAAATACACTGTTTTTATTAGATTGTCTATTTATTGTCCATTTAATTTAATGA